GTTAATAAATATATTGTTATATGAAAGCTCTGTGTCTGTGGTCGCTGTGAGTATCCATGACGTCGCAAAAGGCTCACTGGTGTGGAAGAAGTTCCGGTCTCGCGGACGAAGGTCTGGCGGTCGCCGTGCGTCTACCTCACCGGGTTGTGGCGCAGGTCGAGCACGGAGAGCTCGGGGGCGATGCGGCGCAGCAGCGGCATCGCCTGCAGGAGGCGCGACACGCAGTTCCACGACAGGTCGAGCGACTGCAGCTGCGGCAGGCGCGGCCGCACGTGCTCCTCGCTCAGCGAGATGTCGTTGTAGCTCAGGTTGAGCTCGCGCACGCCGCAGAACACGTCCAGCCCTGCAGCACCCGACTCGTGACATCTCACGGCACTGGGCAGAGCAATGCACGTTTCCCGATTGCATCCCGGGTTTAGTTTTCGTAAGGGTTTTTACCTACCTCCTCAAAAAAGCTGAGTGAAATTGCATCCCGTTCGGTTTTCATCGTGAGTTCAAATAAAAAACCTCGTCTAGGTATCACACATCCAAGATCGCTCTTTCCACAAATGCTCCTTTTAACATTGTTCACTGTGTCTCTCTCTTGGAATGTACTGATTAAATAAAATATGATAGGCTTGTTATTTAGGAATTAAACACTTTAATATTATTAACTTATTGAAAGTGATATCTACGAATACTATGGGCTGCTTCAACAAAAAGGGTGGAGCTTGGCATGATATTTCCTAAAGATGTGCCTAATTAAAATAATTCTTGTTTACATATAAAGATGCGAAGATTCTGCTATTAATGACCTTGATTAACCTTTGTTTGACCAGACCGTGTTCGACTTTTTCAGCTAATTTTCTTTCTCCACCTTCCGAAAAATTGGCCGGGATGCAATCGGTTGTTCCTTCTCAGATAGCCAAATGGTGTAAGAAAATTAACTTTGAAGGAGTACTGGGGAAAATGTCCATGGGATGCAATCGGACTATTCGCCATTCAAAGTCGGAAGGTTGCATTCAAGGATGAATGAGTATTAATACTGAGGTCTGTATCTCGTAAGACTCTCTCCGGTTCGCTTCCTTCTTAAGATCACGTAAAAAAATAGGGGACTAGCGGAAGTGAAGCTTACATGTCCTAGAAAATTGTGATAGCACTTTCAATCGTACTTTCGTACATAAAATGAAAGCGAAACAAATATACGTTCTACTTACCTTTAAATGTGGACAGTTTGTTGAACGACAGATCCACTATGGTGATAGTGTCCATCTTGGGCAGGGATCCCAACGTAATTATTCCACAGGCCGTCAACACGATTGTTGTGAGAGAAGCAGTATGTATACCTACATTGCACAGCGCCTGCAATTTAAATGAAGTTGTCATATTACTTGCCCTGTCTCCAGACAAGCATATTTCTCTTCTTAAAAGAAAAAGTAATTGAAATATTGTTTGCATGTAATAAGATATTATGCCTATTCATTTTACAGAGAATATTTTGACAAATCATGCTGAAAACTTTTGTTTCAGAATAATTGTAATGTGTTTTGCCCCATGATTTGATCCAAAGCTCTGCATATGACGGTGAACCGAATTCGCGACTTTAATTAACGATCATCTGGGATGACATTCGAAACACACTTCCTTGCCTGAGAGACATTAAGTTCA